CGCAGGACCCGAGCCCCAGCCAGCCCGATCGCCCGCCAGCCATCCGCGCACAGGAAAGTCCCGCGGCCCGGCGCCGGGTGATGTCATTGTTTGTGGGAATCTGAGGGCTCTGGAAAGGGAATTACGACGGGTGCCGCTCTGGGAGGCCCCCGGAGAGCCGGGGCACCGGCCTCTCCCCATTCCTCCTCCTGGATACAAAACAACTCTCTCTCTCTCTCTCTCTCTCTCTCTCTCTCGTCTCTCTCTCTCCCTCTCCCTATATGGCAATATAACAAAGCAATATTAACCTTCCTCCCGCCACTTTAGGAAGCCCTAGGGAAGGTTGCTTTGCTCCCCTTCTGGCTCCGCAGGCGTAGGAAAGCAACCTCCTAGGGGCTTCTCCTGGGGGCTAGGGTGCAAGAACGATTTATTTTTTAAGGCTCTATGCAGGTCAGGAACTAAACAGCTGGAAAGCCAGCGGGGAGCCAGCCTAGTTTTCAATCATCCGAGGCGCCTCCTGGAGACTCTGCTGCACCCCCATACTCTGCCTCTGGGACTCACTCACCGAATGGGGTGCTGATGGCGGAAGGGGTTGCCACCCGTGCCAGACGTGGACTCCAAAGGGCGGGGGATCAACTACGTTAGCTGGTTCAGAAAGGAGCACTACAACTTGATTGCTGACCACTGACTTCCTCTCCTTGCCCAAGTGGGACAGCCAGCTACGCTCTGCTTGTATAGAAAGGGGGGGGTGTGATTGTTCTGAAGAAACTTAAGCATTGTTGAACTACAGAGTGTTTACACTGATCTTGCTCATCACCTAGTACCCAAGTTCAAAATCCTACCTTGCTTGGACAGGAAGTAAGAGACCTGCTCTTGGGAGGGGAGGGAGGTGTCTCACATTTCATTTTGGCTTGAAGTCACACAAGGAAAACAAACACCCTTGGTAGAAGAGAGAAAGCACACTTAACGCCTTGGGTCACACTGGTCAGAGATCTGGTTGTTGGTAAAATTGAGCTCCCCATGCCCCCAAGCCCTTTCAAGCACTGCTGAATAAAAAACATGGATATCACTAAAGGTATTCGTTTAAATGTAGTAAACCTGTATGTCATTATCATTACTATTAGTCAAACTTCTAGGAAAAAAAAAAAAAAGAAAAGAAAAAGAAAGAAAACTGACAACAAATCAAAACAACAAAAAACAAACCAGGAAGGTGGTAGGACATGGGCTTGAGATGAAAGGGAAATTAGGTTTCTGGAGAAGCAGCAAAGTGAGCAGACTAACTTTGTGTGCATCAGTTTGTTACTGCATAGGAGCTCCTTACTGCCAAGACTTTCCCAGTAATTTCCTCCATAGCGTTGCCCCTCTGTTCGTGTGCTTGACCAGAGCAGAAGGTTTTCTTACTCAGGGACCTTCAGCCCCTCTGCTTCCTCCGTTGCTTGTATTTCATCCATATTTTGAATCAAGGCACCAGATTGATATGCAGCAACACTAGCCACATGGTTCTTCCTGCCTGGTATTGTTAGTTAAGAAAAATGGCATTAAATGTGAAAATTACATTAGATAGAGTCACAATCGTGGAGTGCATTTCAAAAGCAGCAACAAAGATAAAAATCTAAGTCTTTAGAAAAATAGATCTGAAGAGCATCAAATAAGTCAATTTAGAAGATTATGAGTGTTGGGAAATAGCACTGCTAATGTAGCAAAATCTCTCTGAAAATGAACATGAAATTACCATCTATTTAGAGATATTTATTAATTTTTTTCTGAAACCACAAAGCAATACTTCATTTCCTAAATAAATTCCAATGATGAAATGTGAGTAAAAGCTGAACCTTATATATTGCCATGGTTTGAACATGATTTTTCTTCTAGAAAGCTCAGGCTGAAGTTTTTGAGCACCACTGTGATGGTGTTGGGAGCTGAGACCTTTGAGGGTGACTGGATCCCGAGGGTTCTGCTCTTCATGAAAGGCTTAATCCATCCATGATTTGGTGGGTTGCCATGGAAGTGGCTTCATTTTGAAAGTGAGCTCTTTTTGGTTAGGTTGATGAGTCTCACCATCTGATATCCCACTACTATCTGATGATTCAGATGGAAGCCCTCCAGATGCCAATGTGATGCACTTAGGCTTCCCAAAATCCAGTTCTGGGTATTAAATAAACTTTTGTTCTTTATAACCCACTTGGTCTCAGGTATTTTGTTATAGCAACAGAAAACGGACTAAGACATATATCTACATTTTAAATAAAGCCAGGTCAGATTGGGTACAAACTAAAACAAGTGACTGATTAAAATGTCATTTTTAGTGGTTTACACCGAACACAACTTATCATAGTATTGTCAGAATAGCATAGCAAATGAAAAGAGTTTTTGTGATACAAATGCTAAATTTTTGGTGTACAACATAGTATGCCAGTGGAGAAAATGTATTCACACATTGGATTGATATTTGAAATGCAAATATACAGCCATGCATGCATGCATATTTCTCTTTTAAATGGCAATTTCTCAAGTTCCTTTTTCATTGCCGGTAGAGATTTTGGAGAAAGGAGGTGAATAGCAGGGAGAAGGGTGGCATTTTGTTCTGAAGATCCAGGAGCCAGTAGCCAGGAATTCTGCTTCAGCCTTTGCTATTGCTGGACATATATGTCACTTGGGCAGAATCCTTGCTCCTCTTAAAACCTACAACTCTTCATTTTAAAGGGGCAGCAGGATTAGATTGCCCTTCCCCATCCAAAAATGCAGTTTCAAAGAGATGCTGAAGCACAAACTATGAAGGAAAGAACATCATCAATAGCTTGGCAAATGTAGAGAAAGTTCATCTTTTAATATTACAGTGGTCAACAAATTGACTTCTTTTTGTAAAACTCCTCAAAACTTTCTCATATTTACTAATTTTATAGACTTGAGGGGAGACAACCAAATATAAACAGATTGAGACTTGGTAGTAGTCATGGAAACCATCAATATCTTGGGGTTCATTGAGTTTATTTACTGTTGTATCTGTAGCAATAACATGGGGTATTTAGTTATGATGAAGATGTGCCTCAGACATCCACTATCCCTGAAGATCTTGTCTTATAGAAAGCAGAATATTCCCATTTCATGGATTTATGACTGTACATCAGTAGATGTATGGGTGATTAAAATAGCCCACACTGAAGAGACATGATCAGGCCTTTCTCCTCCAGATCAATTTCTAGAGTGAAGACTTTGAATCCACAGAGCATCAGGTCAGAGCTAACCTAACATAGGTTGGGGCAGAAAGCAACCCCAGGAGAGACTGATGGTCCTTTGAATATTCTTTGGGCCCTTAGATGATTTTCTGTTAATTTTCTTACTTTGAGTGCACACAACTGAGGGTCATGATTTAAAAGGCAGCTTTTTTAGAAACTAGACTGTGCTTAGGATTTCTTCTGCACTTGTTCTCAGGACTCCCAGCGCAGTGAAGATGCTTTCATTGGCAACAGTCCTCTCCTATCATATTGGCCTATCAGGTCTTAAAGAGGGCTCTTCCCACAACCTCCCATACCCCTGTTCTCTCACGTAGCCCATTTTCAAAATTTGTGAAACTGCTATCTCTCTATTGCTTTTTGCCCATTTTTTAATCTCAACATTAAGTTTTCCTTTTTTTCTCAAGACCTCACCTCATTTTCTGTGGTATTTGTATATACCCTTGCATTTGTTGTTGCTTAAAATTTGGGTGCTTGAAATACTTTTTAATTCTTCTCTCAGACACCCATTCCTTCCAAA